ATGCAATTCACTTATCACGCTTCTGAAAGTCATTTTGAATGCTTAGTTCCCATGCCTTTCTAACACCAGTGCTGAAAAATGATGTACATTTGTGATTAAATTCATGCGGAAAAATTTCAGATTCATGGTATGAAATTTGTTGTCTTTTCTATTATCTCGGTACACTTCTGTTTCACACAAAGTTTATAGCCGGGTATTTATCAGTATGTGCAACAGTTCTGATTGCCTAATCTGTATTTTCTGCTTAGAGTATTGTTAGTATAAATAAATAGCACAATATATAGGTATACACTAACTGTATATATGTGTATAAAAAAGAGCTGCACGATGGCAAGAATGCGGCGCCGAAAGAAGTCGCTGAAATGGCGTTGATAATTTAATGGCCGTTTCTTTTCGTTTTAGAACTAGACATTCGATCCCCCGAGATTTGACAGTCGTTTGCTCGTCTCATCACCATGAAACACCGGCCGGAAAAGAAAAGAAAGAGGACGAAGTTGCATATAGAGATAGAGAAGTCAGCGTTGAATCGGCTACCGAAGAGGGAGCGACGTTTGTCAAAGAAAGAAAGGCAAGTAAGGCGCATAGCGTTTCGCACGGCCAAACTTAGCCAGATCGCAAGAGACCAGATTCGGCTGGCAGCCGAGTTGGAAGAAGGGCGTGTGCGGAACGACCTCACCTTTGACGTGCTGCATGACATGGCTGATTCTAAGAAATTGGCCGAATTGTCCACCGAGCAGTTGCCTAAGCTGTCCTGTTCTAAAATATGGTAAGAAGTTATGAGAATGTTATATTACAAAATCCTGGGGAAATAGCAATCAGAGTAGATGTGTCAGTGCAGCTGAATTGAGTAGATCTTTGAAAAGACTCAGCAGTCGGCGCCTCACTTGGTTTGACTAAACGATCAAAAATAGGAGATGCGTTGGCCCTGCAGCATTCACACTGTTAGAAGCATCTTCTTGTTGTGAACCCGTTTTTATAGCTTATGGCTTTTTCGAAGAGGGTGTGGATTAAAAAATATAATTTCCATCACATCAAATTGTCTGGCAACATTTTCATCTCCTCGGAGTGAAGTGCCTCTTCTTTCTCCAAATTGGGAGGGGTATACCACAGTTTGTTCTGCTGCAGCTAATAGCATTCAACATGTGCCTGCGATGTTGATGAAGCTCTGAAAAACTCTGCTTTTGGAGGGAATTCATTCATTCATGTTTTGTTCATTTATTTATCCATTCGACCATTCATTCACCCATGTTTTTATTCTTTCATTCTTCGAGGCATTTGTTGCTGCTCGTTCACTTCCTTCATTCACTCACTCACTAATTCACTCGTTCATTTCATTAATTCACGCTCTCATCCATTCACTTGTTCATTGATTTATTCTTCCATTCATTCATGACTCTTTCTTCTGTGTAGATATGCATGAGAGTTCGAGCCAGATTGTAGTATTGTTCAAGGGACTGCTTTTAAGCTTCCTAAAAATATGAATTACTATCATAAAAATTAATTCATTTATACAAAATTATTTTCATCCAAAGGACAACGGAGAAAGTGAAAGAAGAAAATAGTAGTTTTGTCTCAACCGATACATTGTCTACTGCTGCCCTCTCGGCGAAACAGGAAAATTTTGAAATCATTCGCCGTGCACCGATCGGCTCCTCGATGAAGCTGCTTCTGCCGATCAAGACTATCAGCGGCAAGGTGATACCAGTGATGCGGACAGTCATCAGTGACAATGGGGAGGACAGCCCTGATCAGTTGAATCAACAAGAAGACGAGAGAAAGGGTATTGACGGAATAACGGAAGAGGAGAAAATGAATGACCATCAGACGAGTCGCCTGTCGCGTCCTGAAACTATTCCTGAACTGTTCGCTGAACGCCATCGACTACTTACAGGTTTCAAGAACAAAATTGCTTCGGCTTGTAATTCCGTCATCGTCAATCCTGAGCAAAGTGTATATTGCGTTTTTAGTTCTCTTTTATGCAAATGTTATTTTTTAAAAATGTTTTCTTCTTCAGCTTAATAGGCTTAAGGAAGTTTTGGCATATGCCGCAGGGGTTTCGGATCCGTTAGTAAAATTGACGGTTCAGAAACTGGCTTTAGTTTCGTTGGAAGAGGTGTTCGTCGATATCGTCCCGCAGTACAAAATCCGCGAGATCACTGAAAAGGAGAAGGTACAGAAGGTGAGGTATCGATTTGATTTTGAAGCTCGTTTTTATTCAAAATTAAAGTCATTTAGATCAGTAAGGAAACCAAGGAATTGTGGGCGTACGAAGAAAATCTTCTCAACAAATACAAGAAGTATCTGCAGATTATGGAACAGATCGTGAAAGGTTAATTATTTATTACCGTTTATTTACTATTCCTTGTTATGTTGTGATCGATGATTTCTGTTGTTGTATCATCAGACGTCCCATCATTCAGTGGAACCGTGGCCAATGTAGCGTGCATCCACAGTAGTAGTTAGGCTAATATAGGCTTCTTTTTTGCTGTGGTTTGTAGGTTTCGAGAAGGTTTTCGACTCAGTCTCCATCCGTTGCGTACTAAATTCTTTGAGGAGTCAGATAATCGAAAAGGATGCATTAGCCTGATGATCATAATTTACAAGAATGTGACTGTAAAGCTTCACAAACTGAAGCGTTCGACAGAGTAGTGCAGTGTCACAGAAGTTGTTCAGGCAACTTCAGAAGAGGTTTACACGACACTCCATTCGGAAGATGTCAGGGACTGAATATAAATGGAATCATCTGTTGTTTGCAGATGACATTCTGATCCGCTCAAGAAGAACTTTAAACAAAAATCCAGCAGCTAAACAGCGCCACTATTAAAGTGGAACTCTACAAGAACCTGACGAGGGCGCAGGTCATGTTCTACAATTAAATAACCGTTCAGCCTATTGAAGTCAACGAATTTAGGCATGAAGAAGTGCAAACTACGTTTATCTGAGGTATCTTGTCCCTGTAACGGAGAACGGACTGACAGAAGTCAACAGAAGAATAAAAGTGGCTTGTAGCACCTTTGGACGATTGAAAATGTTCTTGTCCGGCAAACTGTCCTTGTTCTTTAAACTAAAAGTATGGGTACTTTCAGAGCTAATGCGCCGAAACGTGAACCCTCAGCCTGAATGCTATTCATAAATTGCAGACTAGAAACGCATCGTAGAAATGTGTATGTTGGGAGTAGCAATAAAACGGCACTACAATGTGATTGTCTGGGTGAAGAAATTGCAATAATCCAGGCACTTTACAAGAAGATAAGACTGTCGCTGACCTGATAGATGTCAAAATAGGTTACAAGAGAGAGTGGAAGTGCAGTGATAATGAGTTTATTACTTCAACAAGATCACCGAAGTATCTTGTTTTACAGCGCAGGTGAAAGAGAATATACACCTTTGTAAATTAAATAATAAATGGATTAACGGCAGTGAGATAAAAAGCAAAGCATTAAACTATAGGCAAAACTACAAACGTGAGAGCTACAGCCGATTTACTGTGCAACGGCAACAGGGTGAAAGTACCAGAGTTGCTTTTGGGTTCAGATCTTTGGCAGATAACAGATGTTTATGGCAATGTCGTTCAGCAGTGAATCGACAAGATCTGATGATAGTAACAAAATTACTGCCGAACAGTAATCGATAATTTTTGGATTGTATTTTTCACTGAAAGTAATTGGAAAACATCAACCTAATGACACACGTCCCGAAGTCTTTTCTTTCTGTATTGTTTCACTGATGACTTCAGGTTGAAAACGGTCTGGAGTTGGTTTACACCAATGCTATCATCATGAATGACTCATCCAAGTTATTGTACGGGATTATGCGAAACACTCGCACCGTCCCATCAAGATGCCTGGGGCATTTAAGGATGCTTAAGATTCAGTTGGTAATTGAGCACATGCGAAACGTAAATGAACAGGAGAATCAGTGAGGGCTCGAACAACTTACATGTTGTGGTACCAATGAGTGGTCTGTGGTTCGATCAAAATA